CCATTTGTCGCTTCATCTTCCCTGCTAATGAAGTGGGCCCGTCTTTATCGTCTAAGGTTGACTGCTCATAGGAATTCAGCTAAATCTTTTCATGTTAGTTTGTAGGTTGCATTTTTAATTTACAATACCTAAAAAGTTCAGAATTCTATGGGGTCAGACTTTTCCTTCTACAATTTTACTAAATAACAAATTTGGGATTGTTAGTGTTCAAGTGTCTCTTATCTAGGTTTTTCAAGGATTTTCCTTATCAAAAATGCTTACGTGCTTAGGGCTGCTTGCCTTTCGAAATTTAATTAAAGTCCCCCTGTCTTTTCTCACCAAGACTCAATTATGATTCCCAAGGGACCTTTCATTATCTTATCCGGTGACTTTGTGTGGAGACCACAAGTCTGGTGTGACAGTTTCTCGAAAGTACCAAGAAATGCAGATGCTGCAGTCAGAGTCAACACAGTATGGAGCTGTAGGAACACAGCAGGTCAGGCAGCATCAGACGTTTCGGGTCAGGACCCTTCTTCAGAATAGATGCTGTCTGACCTGCTGTGTTCCTCCAGCTCCACACTGTGTTGACATGGTGTGAAAGTTGTTATGTGTAGCTGCCAATCCCTTTTTGGCCATCTTGTGTCAGCTAAAGGGCCCTGGACAGCCATTTTAGGTCATCTTTAGTCATGGGCAGCTGCAACATAAGCTATCTTTTGTCTAGAGTCTTTATTTCTCATTGGAATGAGTCTTTGAGTGTTATGAAACTTCTTACATGTCTGCCACTGCATTCATACTGACCAACCCCTTAACCTAATTTTGTGATTCACTTCAGCCAGCTTTATCTTCATCCCCTCATAAATTCCTTGTTTATTTAATGTAAAACACTAGTATTTGGCCCAATCTTCTCTCATTCAAACTGAATGAGGAAATGTTTAACTTTCTCCAATTCTTTTTCAGACTAACAGGAACATAACTATTTCTTAACAAGCACACCTGGTCCATAGCTCAAAAGTTAAAATTCTGACATTCAACAGTCATGATCCTCCACAAATGTCAAATGAGTGAATAACCTAATGGAGTTCAGCCTTCAACATTAAGGGTTTAATTCTAACTTCCCAAAATAGGTTGGTTCAGATTGTGACAATACTATGACTTTAAGAGGCATATTTTGTCCTTTCTTAACGAAGAAAGGTTGAGACAGAGATGTTGATTGGTCTGCACTAAAGCCCATAAACTAAACAGAACAAAATTGCCGATGCATTGTGCAACTTTGATGAAGGAAGACAGAGGCATTCGGTGCATCTTATGGACTGTGCTAGGGAATGTTTGCGTGCTTAGAGTCAATGTAATGTATATGCATTGTAGTGTACTAATAGTGTAAGACTAAAGGTTTTTAAAAATGAAGCCATCTTTGTATATTGATAGTTTATTTTTAAGGCGGGGGGGTGGGAGATGTGATGATTCTATGGCTTCAAGAGATGTATTTTGTCCTGTTTTTTCTCATGAAGAAAGATTGAGATCAGAGGTGCCATTCAGTCTGCCCCAAAAGCCAATAAAGTAAACAGCTTGTAACGCCCTGAGGTCTTTTTCCTAAGGTTAGAATAATAAATAGAATTAATAAAAGCAACAATAGAACCTGGGTCAAGCCCCCACAGAACCAAGATTTTTAATTCTAGTTTTTCAGTAGCAGTTGCTGGGGTCTTAAAGCTGGGTTTGGAAGCTGCAGTACATCTCTTCCTGCTATTCTGTCTCTCAGATTTTTCTCTTGATGTTTTTCCTTCTGGGCTGCAGTATTGCCTGTGAGACAACCTATTTTACTGAATTTTGCCTTTTGCCAAGGGTATGTTTATGGTTTGTTACTATGTTGGAACAGTTAGTTATTAGTAGTTAATGATCTATTATTTTGTTAAGTATTTCGATAGAGTTACAGTTAAGCCAATGTTTTGCTTTTATTTTTATTTTGTCTGTATTTTAATGGCAGTGTAAAAATAAAGTGTGTTTTGCTTAACATCGAATAGTTTGACCAATCAAATTGCATCTGGAATGCAACACCTTACACTTATCTTTAAAATAACAAAAAGTTAGGGTCTAGACTATCTTCTGAATATATTTTGAGGGAGTTGGGTCTGGTCCATAACAAGATCGTGCCAGAGATTAAAATGCATAAAATCTGAACCAGAAATTGAACCCATTTCAAACCCATTCACTTCTGGTTTAATACAGACAGGATAAGGGTCTTTGTACTTCAATTCTACAGGATATTCAGGAAACATGGTTCTTGGGGTCCCCTGAGCTCAGAACAGCCCTCATTTCCCTAGCACACAAAATGGCCTCTAGACATAATCTGGGCCAAGAGCTCTGAGAGCAGTGATAGTAGGAACTGCAGTTTACCTGGACCATCTCTAACACCTCTCTCCCCTTCCTGGACCTCTCTGTCTCCATAT